CTTCAACGACTCTCTTTCTCTTCGGTCCTGAGATGGCCGTGCTCTCTGCTTCTGCTNAAGAAACAACAACAACAAACAACAATAGTTCGCCACAAGTGCTGCCTCGGCCGCCCTACTCGCTTCTACAGCAGTGCCCGGTCGCCGTTTCTTCCCCCCCACCGACGCTTCAACGACTCTCTTTCTCTTCGGTCCTGAGATGGCCGTGCTCTCTGCTTCTGCTTCCCTCGCACGCTGGCGCTTCGTGGACGCTTCCGCCTCCTGCCTGTGCCATGTCCTCATGAGCCATGCCGCCCCGTCCTCGACCTTGTTGTACCACACCTCCGGGTCCTTGGCGCTCCTTTCCATGTGTGTGTACCATCATGTAACAAAAAAATGTTCCTGTGAACCAACCACCAAGCGATAGGTAAGCACAATGAAATAATAGTAACCCTGACTAACCTACGAAAACGAAACGATCTCTTTCTCAAACCATGTAGGTTTTCCTCATCTGCAGCACCTCTCTCCCTCCCATAGACAATCCTAATGCGTTGCAATTATTCACGGCGAAGGCTCAGTGACCCCTCAAGGGGGATGGGCTTATCCCACTACTGCGGCGGCCTCTCTTGGAGTCTCCGTCTGCTCCTGCTGCAGACTCCAGTCCATGTCCCTCCTTGCGTGCCATGAAAAAAAAAAACTTCGTAATCTCGCCGCGTCTGGCTGGCCATCAACCCGAGAACGTAACACACCAGAGCGTCCGTGATTCCGCGATCGGAGGAGAGAAGAGAACTGGATTGACCTTGTTCCCCGATGTTCAGACGCCCCCTCCTGGTCTAGCGTAGCATCAAACGCATGAAGCGTCTCGCGGTTCTGGTTCTGCTCCTGCTTCCGCTCGCAAGGCCTCGGCTCCAAAGCACCGTGAACCGAGAAGCAGAGGTGATGCATTTTGCGTATGCATCCGTTAATCTCGTCGCGTACCACCAGCCAATTCTCCATACCTCATGTCATGGTAGAGCATTGGGTACTGCTGCCATCTCCTTTGCGCCTGTACAAGACGCTTTCAGCCGTAACCTAGCGGCATAGCATCGTGTAAACGAGCTGTTTGATTGATTCCGAGAAACTATTCGAACAGGTGGGTTCCGGTTTATTTCACGAAGCTGGAACTTGACGCCCTGCCCGTCTTGCAGCACCCACCGCCGTGCCCGGCGCGTGCAGCGCGCGTTCTGCTTCAACTGCTGCTGCAGCCTCCCTACGCTTCTAGTGTCTGATGTGGGAAGTACTACCTGCTGGTGGGTAAAACACAGCCGGAGTTGTTCGGTGCACGCGCACGCTATTATGTGTCGTGTGTCGTGTGGGAAGGGGCGGACAAGAGTTGAGAGCATAAGATGCGTTATACAAGAAAGACGGAGGGCCTACAAGAGCTAGATCAAGACGGGCGTTCAAGGCCTATTGACTTATGACCTTGATTCAATGTGGCGTTGGTGTTTGCTGGTATGCATACATGCATATACCTGTGTCGGCATGTCGGCGTTCACTTTCACTTCACTGACCGGAGTTCGGTGTAATCTTTTTCGGACCATTTTTCGGAGATTTCCGAATCTTTCGTTGGGGTCTTTCCGCAACCAATCACAGCACAGAATGTAATTTTTCGACGAGCCGCGAGCCCCCCTCCCGCGCACTAGCGCACTTGTTATCGAGCCTGGCCAACGACCTCAACATGTCCAACAATCTTGCACTTTGCATCAATCGCCCTTTGATGCTTTCAGTATTTTTTTGTGTACAGTAGAGGTCCCTATTTAGTGCTGGTTGAATAGTGCCGGTTGAATAGTGCCGGTTGCCGGTATAGTGCCGGTGTTTTCGGCTCGCACACACTGGAATATCAGGGCGTTCTGTACTTTGAATAGTGCCGGTGCCCGGTATAGTGCCGGTGAATTTTTTGCGCACACTCCGGCACTAAACAGGGACCTCAACTGTACACCAGATTAAAGAAAGCAGGTCTGGGGTTGTGTTTTTTTTTTCCGAGAATATACTCTGCATGCATGGTCTAGTCACGTGCAGAAAGCAAGGATAGGTCTTGTTCTCTACACGCGATAATTCCGTCGCCAGTTTTGGGAGGTTTCCACCCACATTTTCGATCATCAGCGCAATCAATGTACCAAGAAGTTTCACGTATGACCTATTCTGTTGTTGTGTGGTTAAGTAAGATGCTACAGCTACTGCTCGCTTGCGTTGTCGTCCTCTCCCATCCAACCTCATATCTTGCCTTTCGTGCCCTCAAAACCTCGCGTGCACCTACACACTAGAGGAGTAGGGGGTCCCTCCCTGCTTCCGTTGTCAACCCACAACGCCAAGTGTAAAATAAGCTCGGCGATGGCAACGCCAACAGTACTCGTCGGCTTGCATTTGGAACAGGCTGTACCATACTTTAAAACGATGTGATAGATATATTCAACGTCGTAAGCCTACAGCCTTCATCCGTGTGACCCCGGTTGGGTCTTCTAGCTAGTAGAAGTGGAGGATAGGGGCCAGAGGGGCAGACCACAGAGTCTAATGATGGGCGAAAAAAAAAAAAAACTTCCTCCGTAGCAACGGGTAGTGGGTTCGAACAATTCGCAGTTCCGCCGCGTAATTCGATGAAGTTCGTGAGTGACATACGCAAAAATGTGGGGATTGCTGAACCATACGATCGGGGGCAAGCACCGCTGTGGAAGGTTGGACGAAAGGGAGATTGCATTCCTCCTGTGTGATGACCCAGGCTGATCTGTAAATGCTACAACGTCTCGTTTCTTTGCGACATGCCCACCACGATTTCGTATCGATCTGTCCTTTGGTCCAAACAGCAATCTGCCGTGGTGGCACGACCGACAACAGCAGCCCTCTACACGTACAACCCGGATGAAGGTGCGAGGATCATGACACGGGTTCAGTGTAGGCCCGACTCATGCACGTCCAATCGGCATTGTTTACATGTCCTCCTTCTCTGTGCCACTGCCTGTCGTTGAGCCTGCCTCGATGCCACGGGTATAGGTGTAGGACGGGGGGGGGTGTCGCAGGAAAGCACGCGTGTGTGGAACATGAATATAGTTTTGCCTGGTGAGTGTCTACAGGGCGAAATGTACAGCACCGAAGCGTCGCGCCTCTGTTTGCAAGGGTCTTGGCATCGTGTGCAACCATTTCGATATCATTATAGCAGGATCACTGCGCCATTGACCGACGGTGTAAATGAGCTCGAGGGGAGTACTGCATATATCAAACAATAATATTCATGTTCGCGTAAGAAGTACTTCTTACTATTGAGACACCCACTTAACTGACCATTGATCAAGCTAGATTGGGCAATTTGGTTCGGTCCGCGCCACAGCGTTGTTGAACCGATCGACAAGCGGAAGAGACGCAGTTTTCGCTATTGTAGTGCCGCTGTTGCATTCCTCAGATGGTATTAGGCGTCATTCGGGAAGGGAAAGACTGCGGCCGGTAGAAGCTTTCCCTCATTCTTGCAAGCTCAAAATAAAGAGTGCGCCACAGGGTGTAGGGTGTCACCCCTGTCAGCGGCTTACGTTGGTCAAGTATACAATAGCGCATAGAGCGTGGTACCATTCTGGTGATGCAGGGGTGTTGTTGTCTCGAAGCCCTTTATTGAACTTTGGCAGCTGTCCCTGGCCTGTGTGAACGGAATCATATATATGACCTTCGCCTACGCACGGTTGTGCTGTGGGCAAGTTGGGTTGTTGGTTCTCGCGATGGAGACAGCAGCACTCTCGCCCTTTCCGTGGCACTGCACGCTTAGCTTGTCTTCCATGTTCGAGGCTTCAGCAAGGATCCAGCTCTATGTTTTGGAAATGCGACTGCGATGGTGGCGAGACATGAGTTACCTTCCTCTACAACTTCGTCGCGCTGAGGAGTGTACCGTTCTGCCCCTCCCACCCCGTACCTCCATTGTCGCAGATGACCTATTCCATACGCGAAAGTTGCCGGAGCTTACCATTTACGTGAAGGGGCACCGAGGTGAGCCAGAGAGAAGACAGGGAAGGGGACAATGAAGCACTAAATAGAGATCCGAAAGCATTGCTGCTGCTGTATGTATTAACAGTATGCTGCTGTGAATGATGTCATACATCGTCTCACCTTCGCTTCGGGGAACTCTTCGCTTGGTGCGCATTCCTTGTCCACAACACAACCGTGGGATTTGCCATGTACAACGAGCTTGCGACTTCGGCCTTGTATCGCCTCACAGGTACCAGGGGAGAGACAAATCTGAGGCGGGCCATGAAGCCACTGAGCACCCTTGGATACTTCAAGTTGGCAGGTTTAGATCCTTTCAAGTTGTGCCGGTAGGCAGGTGTCATGATTACCTCATGTCAACCAAAATCAACAAACTCTCCCAGTTGATGACGTCATGTTTTCGCCCCTCCTCTTGTTCCTTCTGGGCTGTGTCCTCCCGTCCCCTGCTCAACCTGGGCCCGAAGGAGAAGGAAAGACGGTGGGCGGCGAGCCCACCAACAGAAGCTACTTGAACAACTTAGTGGCGAATTCAGCAGCGCAAACAGAGGGCCAAGTGAGAACAATGCCGTATTATCATGGGAGAACTGTGAGCATGGTGTCCCATCCACCCATCCATAGGGGTAGGTAGTTACTATCTATGTGACGAACGGAAAAGCGTGGTGGTCACCATTTGTCGACAGATGAAGTGGCGTTGGAAGGCTGGGAACGGAGGGAAAGGGCTGGAAATTGAGCACTGCGCGCGTGGATGGAGGGGTTGGGGGAGACGCGGGAGGCGGGGGCGGGGGGGAGGGGGGGGGCAGCTGACTCCCCCGCTACACCATACCAAGCGGAGAATATCGGGGGAGCGTTTCAATCTCGTCTTTCTTAGGCAATAGCAACCAACACATGACGTGTGACTGTGTACGGTGTTGGACGACTGCTGTACCTTTGGCATTGGAACGGTTGGCAGCAACCAAATCCGAACACAGATGAAAACGGTGAGAAATCGGAAAGTCCGCCATGCCGATGATGTTCTTTGTGTTCGCCAACGTTCGCCAGATGCGTAGGCATGCAAACAGCTGACTGCCACACAGTGGTGGTTTGCTCAGCTCTGTATTCAATCGATGCATCCGCTGATCCTACGCCGCCTTGAGAGTTTGGCCAGCTTACACGTCCCGCATCCGCCCTTGCTTTTCGCTCGTGGGTGCTCGTTGGCGTTGTTTATTCGTGGGCGACATCACGGTGGCATTTAAGCTGAGTAATATTGCCTTCATCAAGACACACAAGACTGCTTCAACGACCTTTGCCTTCTTGCTCTACCGGTACGCGCGAAGGCACAACGTGAAGGTGAGCGCGACACTGCTGCTGGAGTCCTATCGGTGGTGCACAAGTTTTTGGGCGTAGGTGCGTCGCAGCATCTTTTGTCAGACCTCCCGTGGTACGTCACTGCCCGCCCTCCCCCCAAGCGGAGAGTCCACGAACACCAACCTTTGATATGTGGCTGTGATCACCGTTTGTGTGCAATGTTTGGTGTGATGCTGATGGAGCTTGGAGATGCCCGCTGCATGGGGATGGTTGCTGGTGAAGGCTTGTCGAGTCAGCGAAATTTGATTACCCCTCCCCCCTGGAGCTTTTCTTCCTGGAGTATACTCCTCTGTGGGAAACGGTATACGGAACGTTGAAGGTTGATAAAGGGTAACTTCGGGTGCGAGGAGCGAGCTGACTCGCCGGCCAACCAGCTGTCTCGTGCGGCATCCAATACACTGGATTGGATTGGTGAAGGAGGACTTCCGAGACTTGAACGTGCTCGAGCAAATGTTTTCGGTCCTGTCTCTGGTCGTGTTGTTTGTGGCGCACGAAACGTGTGAGATGAATGATTTTTGGCCCGTGAGTTTTTTTTGGATGGTGGTCACCTTATTGGTTGCTGTGCGAGCGTGCGCCCAGTGTGAGCTGATTGGCTTATTTTCCTTTGTCCCACATTTCTCTGTTGTGTACTTGGGATCCTCCGACGCGTTATTGCGCGGCGGGATGGTTTGAATGGCGGATGATGGCGAACGACGACGCCACCCAGCTGGCCCACTTTGACGACCACAATTCCGCCATTCCTCTAAGAGAGGCTGTTCAACAGGTGGGTCAGTTGCTGAAAGGCTTGGGTGAGCTGCGGCATTCGCGGACAAACTTGTCTCCTCGTGCATTTGCATATGGTGGTCGAAACCCAATGTTTCGAGTCCTAGTGCTGTGGCAGGGCACCACGGCGAATAGACCGACGCTCATCTCCTTTCCTCTCATCATACAGTGGGAGCGATCACTTGAATCCACCCGATCACGTGCGCCAAAACACAGAGGATCCGTCACAGCCCCACGCAAAACATGCGAGCGCCGACAACAGTTTCCCTATTCGTTTAACTCAACAAACGCACGATGTGCACTGGGTTTGAACACCGGACAGACGGAAGGCAGACAAGGGAAGGGTAGGTGCGACATCATGCACTACCACGTGTCCGCGTTCGGGCAGTTCGAGGGCTCCTGGAGACAAGCCGAGCAGGCGTACCGGAGAATACTCCGGAACACCAAGGCGGTGAACTTCGTGACGGTTGTCCGTGAGCCGCGAAGCCACCTCCTGAGGTGTGACGACTACCGTACCGTAGGCTTGATCGCGCTGTACATCCGTAGCACAGAAATGCTATGTACGTAGGTGCCATGGTCAAGCCTTAGCTCGGAGACGGGTTTGATTGGGGCATGAGCCGCGGATGGTCCGAGGTGTTGATAGCAGACCATTGGGGTCGCCTCCACCGTATACTGTTTCGTGCCGAAAGTTCGGAATCGAGATCAATTCCTTCGGGTTTGTCGTGGGATACACTGGGGCAACCGCAGTCACCCAATGGTGGACCGGCAGTGAGCATACATGATTTTTTGGTTTGAAAGCTCGTGGTCAATGAGCTTGCTGACCCGCTCCAGAAATGGTAGGCTAACTACCCTGCTCTGCGTGTTGTCTGTTGATTGTGCTTTTGTTCTCCTCCCCCGTGTTTGTTTCTCCTTCTGCCTGACATTGCTGCGTTCGTTGGCCGCTTCTGCTGTACACGTGTAACCTGTTTGCTGGGGATGGAACAAACGGACTCAAGCTATTACTACTACTTCCTCCAGCCACAGACGCGGGTGCGTGCGTTTCGTTTGTGTGCGGAAATGCGGCGACCGCAAGCGTACAAAAAAATGTTGGTCCTGGACCATTACCAAGAGCAGTCATCCTCGTCGACGCACCTCGCCCTCCTCGAGTTATTTCGTCCATCTTCATGCACGCAAGATATTTTGTAGATTATCTCCTTGTTTCCTCCTAGAAACACACAGTTGGCTATACATTTTTGTGATGGAGGTTTCACCACACTTACGCGGGTTATGAATTAAGGCGGCCTGACAGCAACAGCCCCGTTGAGCTGCGTGGTTGTGTGATTGCACAGAGTCAAGGATACATACACACAGTAGCTGAGAAGCCAGGATAGACCTCACCCAGCGGCATCGTTCCTCGTTGTGGTGAACGCGAAGGCAGATTAACCTAAAGGTTATTCCACTAGATAGACGTGAAGAAAAGTGTATCTACCGGGCATTTCCTTACCCTACCAGTGGCAAGAACACATGATCGGTTTTGTCCAACACATGTTGTTCACTTCACCGGTCGGCCAATGGGATCGGCTCATTGCGGAGGCACGATTAAACAGCTTTCAGCAGCACGTGTGGGCGAGGGAGCGCGGCGGAATCGTCTTGGTCTCTGAGGGCTTGGTTGGCCTTCAAGTGCTCCCCTCCGTTTCACCACCCCCTCTCTCGTTCCTTCTGTTCTGTCTGCCTGCCCCCTTTCTGACAGAAATCCATCGGGGAGTTCTTGACGCAAGCGAAAAAACCCTTGGATCCCATGCACAGGCGCCTATTCAACCCACTTTCGGCGGAATTTGGCGTGAAAAGGCGACAGGACCTGCGGTATGTGCTCGAGAAGGCGCTCCCGAACGCGAAGATGGTGAGGTTGCGCTTGTCTTTCTTTTGGTCCTGCCGGTGTTGGTGCCCCGTACGACCGCTTTCGAGTTTTTGCTTCTGCGTGTAGAGAGTACCGTAGGTCGCACAACACGCCACACCCCCTGGACCGATGTTGGTGGCTCGATTGACCTTCCAGAAACAGTGACGGACCTGTTTCGTCGAGGGCTTTCCGAAACGCATCGTTTGATTTTACCATCCTCTTCGCCGTGGAGTAGTCGAGGGTTGAAATTCGGTCCAGGGGGTGTGGTACCTCGTGCGACCTGCGGTAACGGCAGAAAGCGTACGGGACCACGGCAACGAGTTTGTCAGCGATAGTGACGTGGAGCCATCTGTCATGCGGCTGTCGGCGTGCGCAAAACGCCCCTCCTTCGTGCCGGGGACGACGCCCCCCGCCCTCATGGCGTTTACGTTCACATTTTGAGAATGCTCTCGACCAACGATGCCGTTTTTTTCAAAAACAGTATTGAGTCGCGCCAGCTGATCGCTTAGGGTATCACACGCGTTGCTTGTTTTTGTGTCTTAAAATGATCCGATTTAGCTGATCTGGACGGAATGGTTGGACTGGTGCGGGTGTTGCGTTATTTCGGCCGAGGCGCGTTTCCGTAGACAAAAACCATGCTCGCACAACGAGCCAACAGCCGTGTTTTACTGACGGGAATGGTGTGGAGCACCGCTATCGGAGAAAACACGGACCGAAATGGTGTGGAACACTGCTATCGGAGAAAGGTCCAAATTTGAAGTCGACGGTCGAAAGCTGAAAATGGAACTCCCTTCGTAACCGGTGTCCCAATAAACTTGGGAAAGGTTTTGCTGACAGAGGAGTTCGACGAGGGGTTGATGGTGCTGCGGCGCCTTTTGAGGTGGGAGATGGTGGACATGACGTACGTGAGTGTCTTCAAAACGAAGGTTGGGGCGAGACGGTATGACGGGAAGCCGCTCATCAACGCACCCCGCTTCGAGGATCTTCCGGTGCAGGTGGGTGGGAGGGTGCGGCAAGGCACGTGCCGCTCCGTTTGAATTGATCGATCCTCGGAGAACAAAGGTCGAATCGACATCTGGTTCTAGTCTCATCGGCCGTGAGATAAAGTTTTTTGTGAGTAGGCGTGACACCGTCGCTAGTGCCTAGGTCGCATTGTGTATCCGGGTCAGATGCACAGGTAGACTTCGAACGATAGCCTTCTAACGATGCGCGCCAGATCCTCGCCGCGGTTGTTGCTGAAACGAGTTAGTTTTTTTTTTCAGTTTGCTTTCATTGGCTTGTTTACATCATCGAGAACCTTACTTGTCTCGATACATGCAGGCACGGCGTCCGCCGTCGATCCGGAGGTCTCCCGCTTCCTCGCCGCTACATGTACCTCCACTTCTGTGCTTGTGAAATATCGGTCTATGTGCATGAACACGTCTGTATCCCAGCAGCGATTTATTCGATGAAAACGGGTCAAGTACCACCTCGTCGAACCATACCAACCGCAGGTGCAGCAAATCATCGACCAACACACGGAACTTGACCGGGTGCTGTACAATGCTGCGAAGTTGGAGTATGAAAAGGTACGCCAGCCGCAACGACACTGGTGCCCGTAGTACCAATGCAGTGAACTAAAAAGGACCAACTATCTCCCGAAGTGGGTGCAATATTTGCCATTCTACACGGCTGATGAGCTACACGGCTGCTGAGCAGTTCATTTAAGTATGATTCGTCCTTGCCATTTTTCGAGCAACAATCAAGCCCGACGAAGCAGTCATACATTACAGGCAGTACTTTGTCGAGCAGCAATCAGCGACACACCAGCCGTGCCTACCCTATCCCCGCATAGCCTCTCAACCCTGCTTAGCTCAGTGCCCACAAAAGACGATGTCGATGTATGTTGTAGCGGGTGCATATCTGCTGTAACGATAACGGTCTCATGACCTCGCCAGTCCTCCTGCAGCAGTAGTTTGAACGGTGCGTCGCGGCGGTATAGGTGGTAATCTCGTAGACTAGCTTTCTGAAGGCGAGATCGGGCGCTCGAGCCTAAGCCGAGGGTGATTATTTACCGCATTTGGTACGAAAACACTCGCTTTGCCGTAGGTCAGGGTTAGGGTTAGTATGCTTGGCGGGAGGAAGTGTTTCTGCTGCTGTAGAGAAACCGATATCGCGTTGAAGTTGAAGGCAAGGGAAGGGAAACCACTCACGGCAGAGGAAGGAACGAGTCTCACTCTTGTGTGCGGTGTGACCCCGGTGTGACTCCGGCTTGTAGGCCTTTGAGTCGGGAATGGGAAGGTCGTTCAAGGGCAGGTTGAACCGGCAAGCGACGGTAAAACCGTGCCACACTTGATCACGAGGAAAACAACTGCCACGGTATCCGGTTGTATGTCCGTGGGCGAGCCAGGCGAGAGACCCCCGAGTAACGATAACTTCTCGGTTGAGGGGTAACAGCAGTCACCTCTAATGTAATGGTGAAGTATATCATCTCCTCCCTCTCCCTCTCCCTCTGGACTTGCGCTGCCCCCAAATTTAGCGGAGAGACTTGATACCGCCACCCCTGCTGGAGGAGGACTTAGTGGAGTTCCACGAGCTTCAGCGAATAGTCGGTGCATACCTGGAGGATAACCCTACCAGCAAGGCCAACGCGATGTGAGTTGGACATGCGCTGTCGAAATTGCTACCGAAATTACACAACTATATATGGAGTAAATCACAGTTCCTATTTTATTCCGTGGTTTGGATCCATTCGTAGGAGGAGACGTCCAAGGGCGTGTGTGTATGGACCGTTGATCCTGGGAAAGGATGGGTTCTTGAGTGTTGTGGCTAGATGAAACCCGGTACCAGAGGTTGGCTGTTTCCTTTGGTGTTTCGAGGAATGCCAAGCGGGATCGAGCGAACCAACTCAGTCAAGCTGGGTGGTGCGGAGTGTGGGCGAGACTTCGCGGACTCATTTTCCCAACCTCCTGAAGATTCACCAACCATTCGCAGCCGTTGAGATATCCCTCATATGTCGGGCTCCATGATTATACCATATTCTGGCCTGCATATGTGATCATTGTGCTACTTTGGTTCGATTTTCAAATGTTGTTGCGACCACGAGATGCTAGATTGGTTTTGGGGGAAAACTGGGCCGTACGAGAAAGTCTGCTTGTGTATCCTCCGGCCACATTAGCACCAAGTATCGATATAGATCTAGATGTCTCGAAGCCGCCTTTGCTGCGCATGCAGGCAATACCTGCTTTTTAGATCAAATGTCGTACCCACGAGCGTATTTTTTCCTCGAAGACGACAACAGGCACCCAAGGAAGCTCTTGTCGACTCAAGCTTAGAATTGCGCGGGTCTCTCTCTACATCTGAATAGCTGGTTATGTGCTAGCATCTCCATTGTTTTTTTCGAATCGGAGGCAAAACCGGCTTGGCATGTTCCAGAGCGAGGCGAAACCTTTTGAGGTAGATGTCTTCATTAAGAGAGTAATCCCCTACGACACCAACACACGTGACAAGCTGTCCGTCTACCGGAAATGGAGTGGCGAAAAAAAATCAAATAATCAAAGTGTACAGTAGCCAGTGTTTTTTTTTTTTACAACCGCCCCCCCCCCCCCCCCC